TGCGAAAATGAATTCGTATAGCCTAGAAATTATATCTTGGATTTGTATAAAAGCAACATGTATCGTAGTTGTTAGAACAAGATATAAACAAGTCCTTTTAGATAGATTTGACTGTAGTTTCATTTTTTTTACTGGATAAAAAATGAAACTATATTAGATCTTTTAAAAATCATTTAAAAACAAATTTTTACTATATTGTTGTATAACAAACTTTGATTGAATATTATATTGGATCATTTATACTTAATATTATTAGATTATAAATATTTTATATCTTATTAAAAGAATCTAATTACATGAGATAAGCAAATAAACAAGTAAATAAACAAATAAATAAGTAAATAAATGAGCAAATGAGTAAACAAATAAGTAAATATTGAATTAATAGAATTTAAGTGATATAGCAAATATGAATTTGTATAGCTGATAAATTATATTTTGGATTTATATAAAAGTAACATATATTATAATTATTAGAATTAGATATGAACAAGTTTTTTTAGATAGTAATTCTTAATTATTACGTCTAATTAGTTATTACGTAGTTTTAATTATTCAAAAAAGTAAAGTTTGCACTTTATATAGAGTAAGTAGTCAAGCACAAATTTCTCTCTACATCTCTTTAACAAAATATTCTTGTTTCTTGTATAATTACTTCAGTATTATTGTCATAAGTATTATACAGATCTTGAATTAATATTATAATAGCTTAAGCATATTTGCCAGAAACATTATAAAAGTTATCATCTTAATATTAGATTATTTGAACACATTTATGACAAAATCTATTAAATATTATATTAAATAAAGAAATTATTATAATTCATAAATTTGTCTTTGAGATTGTATTACTGATAATACATTGCTTATAAACTTATCTTTAATTTTGTATTGCTAATAATACATTATTCAACTTTGATTTCATATTGTTGATAATATAAATATTATAATCTCTATAACTTTGACTTTGAGATTTTGAGAACTCTTTTTAGCAGTTCAGATTATTACATTAAAAGAATATAATTGGTATCAATCTTTAAGTAATTTTGTCACTAGTATTTTTAGTACTTATTTATATTCAATCTAATAATCATAAAGTATTATTAATACTTTGAATTGTTATTAAGATATTGAAAGTTTCTCTTTGAATATTCCTTAAATTTTATAAATATCTTTGAGTATTTTGAAAGTCAATCAAAATAATAACAATATAAAATTCAGGTTTTTATATAGATTTAGTAAAAAAATAAAAGTATGTCAAATCTTTTAAAAATTATTTTTATTTTGATAATAAAAATAAATTTTAGCTAAAATAAAATTAAATTTCTTGTATAGATCAGAAAATGTTCTGGATAAAAAATGAATCTATATAAAAAATCAAATTTTTGTCTAATATATTCAAAAAATTTTTTTTACAGGACCAACAAAAATGTAACTTAAAAGAAAACTTATTGTCTTGAATTATTATCTTTAAAATTATAAAGAAACTTAATAAAGTTTAGTAAAGTTATTAAATATCATTTTAGCTTGTTATAACAAAAACACATATTATCTGTCTTTAATAATATTTTTTAGTCTTTTTTAAAGATAATATCTCAATTAATTGTAACTTGTAATATCTAATTAAAGAATTATAATTTAATTGTGATTAATTACAATTAGAAATAACGCAGCAAGTACGTGATATTTATTTGTTACCTGTTGTAATACGTTGCAACTTCAAAATTTTATAAGCTGCAATTAGTTACAATTAGATGATGCTTTATTTGTCATCACATTGCAATAATTGTCATATCATCTTTAATTACAACAGCCAATCAAAGAATTGCAATCAAGTTATAATTAATTGTAATTTCATGTTTAATCTCTTTTACTTTTAGTTAAAAGAAATATATGAATAATATGTAAATAACTTAAATTATATAAAAATAATAATATAAATTAATTATAAAAAATTTTTGTAATAACTTTGCAATTAAAGCAACTTTGTCAGAAAAATCCAGAAAAAATATATATTAAAATATAATTTATAAACTTTATTTTATTAATAAAATTGAAAATTTTATATAAAACAAAAATTTCAATCTTTATTATATTTTATTAATAAAATTACATGTGTGATTTCATAATTCTGTTACCCATTGTATATGTACATATATTATAATTTAATTATTTTGATTTTATAAACTTTTATAAATTCCATAATTAATAATTCAGTTTTTAAAATACTTTATTTTTTTAAATATTATATGATTATTTCAATTTTTAATGACAATTGGATAATATTTTATTTTTATTGATAATATAAGACAAACTTACTATTATAAATCAAATTTTATATTCAATTCTCTATAATTTCAAAGTCAAATTGTGCGACTATAAAAAGTATATTATAGAGGAGTTTAAATATTATATAGAATGATTATAATATTGTGTAACTTGTTGTAAAGGTTGACTTTCTCTTTATACTTCAAGTTGTTCCACCTGAATAGACAATTATTGTTTGTTCTGCTTGGATAAGCACTTTTAGTCGATTGTTCTTTAAAAAAGGATTTGTTACCTTTAGTATTCTATTTGAAGAAAATATTTAAAATTTCCGTCGTACAGACCTGTCAGACCAGATTGTGCGCAAGTTAAGAAGCTTGTGTAATTTTCGTGCTGCTGCAGCAATGTTTATTGTACTTTTGAATCTTCTCAACCGAAACGTGACTTTTCTGCATTCCTAAGATAGAAACAATTAACATTGATTCTTTGCATACTTCTTTCGGGTTACATCAGTTTGGGTGGAATTGGATTGCTTAGCTATTTCTAATATCAATAGTCATAATTCCAGATTTTATCGTTTAATATCCTTTAAATAGTATTCCTATTCGAGATAAGTATAATACAAGGATTCAATTGGATATAAATCAAAAATGATGCAAAATACCTTTTCATTACTCTCGAAAGCCATTGTCACATTTCCCTTAATTTTTGCGCCAATTTTCCGTATTCAGCAATGAAATCCGATTTTCTCACAATCTCCCAGGTTTTGACAGCATTACGTAACCATTCACGTTCCGACACTTGGCCCTTTTTACCACTCTTTTTTGGCAATTCAAAAACCTGATTTCTTAATTCGATCGCCAAAGTGGCAAAATTATCTGGAGCGGCCAAATATTTGAGCGTATATCCTTCGGATTTGGGACGATAAGGATTCGGTTCAAATGGTAACATGTAAAAATTTGGTAGCTTCTGTTGTTTTGACTTTGAGCGTGGTTTGTAAATCGGTAATATTTTTGCCAATGATATCGTATTGAATATTTTGAGATTTGAATCGTTAAAGATTTGTCGAAGTAGATCGGATATATTATCATATTGCTTAGTGGTAAAATCATCAGGTACATTTTTATTAGAGACTAATACTATATCAGGATAATATTCGTAGTTTCCATCAGCTGAAGCCAATGAAGGTAAAGTCGGAAATTCAGATATGCGATACTTTAACATTTCTGCCTTCCTCAAGAAATTCCACGTGTTCAAATCAATGCTTTCAGTTACCGCGATAACAACATTACACACAGAAAGTAAAAAGATAATAAATTGTAGTGATTGCATTTCCAACCATAATTCTGGTGATATATGATCAGGAATATAGTCATTCCTCACAGCACGTTCCAGTATACTTAGACTAAAGAGAGGTTGTGTATCTAGTAAAATAATCCTTTCCGGGGTCACATGAATATCAATTCCGATTGTTTCATGACTGGCGAAATTTAGTGCTTCATTTGATTGAACTGGAAAAGCATTGTTCGGATCTTGACAGAGTGCTGAAAGAATTGTCGATTTTCCGGAACCTTGTGGTCCACAAACACCCACAACAAAATGACCAGGATGTTCAGTTAATGTTTTTGCGACACTCTCAAATAAAAAGGTTCCTTTCTCATTGATCATTTTTTGAAAAGGTTTCTCGGGTTTCTTTGGACGCAAAATCCCAAGTTTCGTCTCAGGATCACGTGACCCGGATGATATGGAAAGATTATGTACAAAATCTTCAAGTGGTGAAGGCGGAAAATTTGACGTTTGTGGTGATGATGCCTCTTCTTCGAATTGTTTCCTTGCTGGAGTAGAAGTGGGAGCAGAAATTGAATTTGCGTTTGATTTGGTTGCTATTGTTGGTGTTAGGTTGGCGGTGGTAGCAGCAGTAGTAGTTGAAGGTGTTGACATTGGAGTAGTAGATTGTGGTTTACGTTCTAAAATAACAGGTGCTTGATAGAATGATTTAGGAAGAATTTCGGGGGTAGGAGTTGTAAGAGTTCCAGAGGAGTCTTTTCTCCTATCACGTCTTCTTCCACCTCTTCCTCCTTCACCACGTACACGTTCTCGATCATTAAAACTACCTTCCCTACGGCCTTTATCTGCATCACGGCCACTCCCTCTACTAAATTTTCCTTCTTCACGTTCTTCATATTGCCTATTGTTAAGAGTTGAGGATCCTTCTTTCGCCATTTTCAATTTTACCTTTTGGAAATCCCCGACACTAGTTAATTTTATAAATTTGCTTTCGTCATCATAATCAATCGACCAATCATGACACGCAAGAAGTTTATTTAACTTGAATTTTTATTTTTTTTTGCCAAACCAGTAATATATGTTTTTACAATGGTGAGTTACTGTTTTTTACAAGTGTAGCAAGTGAAAATTTTTTGGGGCGGGGGAAAAAGAAATTTATTGGGTGAACAATACTCGTTATTTTTCACTTGGCAAAACTGCAAAAAAATAGTTCTCTGCACATACAAAAATATCACGCCAGTAAGCTAAATTAATCGGCTTGCCATCGATTCTATCACATTAATATCTTTCTTTATTCCAAAACTTTAGCCTTCTCATAAAACATATCGAATTAAACGTATCCTTGGTAAAAAGGCAAAGCAGAATCGACCTATTCCCCAATGGATTCGATTCCGTACCAATAACACGATCAGGTATGATAGTCGCTCAAGAAGCTTTCATCCATGTAAAAATAAATATTCTGATCTTGCATTCTAATAACAATGAAAATATTAGATATAACGCTAAACGCCGACATTGGCGTCGCACGAAGTTAAACATCTAATCATCCCCTCATGTTCCATGTCCTTGCGCGTACAATTCTAATAAATATTGCTCACGATGATTATTTATTGATGTTATAAGGTGGAAATGGTTGTGATACCATAATCTGTGTTTTTATTTATATTAATAAAGTTTTTCGAAGTAGTTTAATACACAGCAAGTCTTTAAATCAAAATTATTTCTATATAAGTCACAATTTATATAAATGGCACCAAGACTTGCGTACTGACTGAGATTCAAATAAAATTTATCCTCATTCAATAACGATTAATATTATTAAATAACAAATCAAAACTCTTAAACACACTTTCTTCGCCAAACTGACATCATTTCGTTACCCTTTCTACTCGGATGACTCTTGCAACTATCATAGTATTCCAAACTGAAGTTTTTAGAAAGTAATTCGTCGTATCTGGATTATTCAAAATAAATATTTAAGTTTAAAATGAGAAAATACAGTTTACATCATATACTTTACATTTGTTTAGACAATGTAAAGGGCGGCCCGTCTTCACGCTCATTCAAGGGATACATTAACGCTATTAGTATCCCACCCGGCGAGATCAGCTCGGCGGTGCGATTTGCCCACTCCGGACGTATTGAAGGATCTAGAGCGCATAAGAATCTAAAATAATAGTCATATTTAATAATGATCAATAGTGTAAAAAATGTCAACTATATATGCTTACGTATAATCATAAACTATTTGAAAACCGCCCTTCGGAATCTCAAATGTGAAAAAGTCTCCAGTTTGAAAGTCAACTATCGATGAATTAATGCCAAGTTCCTTTTTTCTCTATTGGTTTGCATAGATTAAAAAAGATGAAACGGAGAAACCGACAGTAAGGACGAAAAATGCTATCTAAACCTGTTTACAAAGTTCGATGGCTACTTCACTCAAGTCTAAACCGAGTATATGCCTTCTCTCATTTGCCAGATAGAAAACATCATAACCCTATACATTGCCGATATAATTCATCAATGTAAATTTCTTTACGATTAGAACTCGAATCAGTGCAATAAATATATACCCGACCACATCCTGGTACTAGACCTCTTCCATCCGGTAGTTTGAACCCTTTTTCTACTACAAGTTCAATTAAAGCAGGTGATACACCTCCTTTATCCCAAGGTGTCATCTAAGAATTAGATCCAAGATTAATTATTTGTTCTTATTATTATCGATATGCATCAGAAGCCATAATAAGACACACCTCATCTTGCCAAAAACTCTTCCATGCTATCATTAACAAATCAAATTGTTAATACATCAAATTGTTATATAGCATAAAATATTTTTTTTCAAAATATTACTTGCCATCTTGTCCCTCCTCTTTGAGGCGATTTTGAATAGGATGGTCTTCTGTCATGATGGCTTATCCAACGAGAATTTCAATGGAATTCTGTATATAAATCCCCTGATCCGGTCAATCTATAGTGCAAGCAGTCTAAAGCCATCCAATACTTTAATCACAAAAAATTACGTTGTTAAATACCTTTGATAAACATCAATATAATTTAGTGAGCAGTTAGAATTTTCTGATGATCCAATTTTCAGCACTGGCTATATCACATGAACAATTCTGATTGGGTCTCACATAAAAGATCACGTGAAACATCAATCACACATATTTTCATACCTGTATATCAGCGTTGGATGGCTTGCACCATAAAATCGAGTTCCCCCGTCGGGTTCGGGTCACTCGATACATAAGGAAGATGAGTCGATTATGCATATGCTGGCGGTGATACATAGTAAGTGGTGTGACGTTAGCAAAACCTAATTTAGTGATGATAATCTGGAACAATGGGATGCGAGGCCTTGTGTTGTCACTTCCATTTATTCTCCATTCATTAAATGTATGTGCATCATCACACCTTTTCAATTCGCAACTACGTAATATCGTGTTGTCGTTTATCTGCCAATGACGCGTTGCGTGCATGCGTTTTTCTTCGCATTATGTAAAAACAGACGATTTTTCAGTATGAAATAATTAATTTATTTGAAACAATGGAAATGTGTTTCAATATATGCACGCTAATTTCTTTTTCGTTGTCCTAGAGAGGACGATGGATATGTATAATTTCATGCTGCCTCCGAATTTACAAAATAAGGGATTTTATTTGGAACTTAAATTTTTCGAGTCGTTAATGTCGTTGTCTATTTAATATATATTTAGTTAAAGAGAAAAACGCAAAAGAAACTATACATTCCCAAGTTGTCAATTTTTTTTACAAATATCATCATCTATTTACTTCTAGTGGAGTAGTAGTTGATGTAAGAAAGAATTGAAAAAATACACACTCTGCTAGAGAGGGAAAAGAAAAATAAATAATTTATCCACAATTATAAATATCCAACCCACCCAAATTCGATTGATGAATCCAATTAATATAATATTATCAACAGATCAATTTGTTAGCGCACTGCGAAAAATGATCCCATGATGATCCAATGCTTTAAATTAAAAAATATATATATATAAAAATATACAATTGAATCGAATCAAAAACAGATGCTAATTTCACGATGAATAAGTGAATATGGTAGTTGTCCTTGAAGCATTCAGATTGTAGTTTGAAGCTCGAGATTTTAATGAGGGAATTAAAGGCTTTCTTGCTGTAAAGTTTGTTGGTTCTTGTGTGATAGGAAGACCAAAATTTGATGATGTTGACGATGAAGGTGGCGATGAAGGTGGAGATGAATGATGTGCATTAATAAGTACACCTGTCGGGGTACCTGATCTGGGTCCTGGTGTTGTTGGCCTTGATAGTGTACCATTAATACCATTACCAATATTACTATTGTTATTGTTAGTATTATTAGCATTTACATTCATTGTACCCGATCGAGAAGAGATTGAAGAGAATGAAAATGTTCTTGGTGTGGGAATATGTGTTGATGCATTTTCTTCAATATTAGGTGAGCTTAGTGATACTGGTGTTGCTGGTCTTGAATTTACCGCTATCGCTGCGGATGTCGTTGATCTAAGCGTTAATGACATTGCTTTTGTCGGATGACCGATTGAAATTGAGTTCTGAGTCGACGAGGAACCTGATGGAGTTCCTGGCCTAGAAGGAAGTGATGATGTGAGAGAAGTACAACTTGGTGTTCTCGGTCTCATTGGCATTTTCGATGGTGTTGATGATGACAACGTACTACTAGTCATCGTGTTAGTTGAACTTGGAGCTGGTGATGGTAATTTGATATTAGATTTAGATTCTTGACGTCGCATAAATGGATTTTTGGGTAATCGCGAATTTGTTGGAATTTTTAAATTTATCGCTCGAATACAATCATTTTTCATTTTCTCAATTATTTTCACTATACGATCGAAAGTACCATCATCATCATCATCACCTCCTAGTTCTCCTAGTTCTCTATTTTTTACATCATTAGATTTCTTTAATGATGAACTTTCCACTATTAAACCATTACTTGAACTCTCATTATTATTTGCCTTCTTTCCCACTATTGTATCAGTGGCCTTTTGCTGATCGACAGCTGAAGGCGTCGGTGGCGGCGACGACGAATCCGACGAATTAGATGTGGGAGTATTAGATGTGGGAGTATTAGATGTGGATGTATTAGCTGTGGTAGTAGTGGCAGGAGAGGGAGGTGGTGAAGAAGAAATAGTCTTTTCTAACTTTGTTATGTCAGCTCGTAATTTCTGATTTGTTTCTTTAGACTGTTGCAACTCCGTCTCCAGCTCTCTAATACGCTCCTCTAAAACAGTAGTAGAAGCTTTCAGTAGAACATTATCTTTCGACAGTCGCAACTCCGCTTCCAGCTCTTTGATACGTTCCTCTAAAACAGCAGTAGAAGCTTTCAGTAGAGTATTTTCTAATTCTGCTACGCGAAACTCTAACGACATTATTCTTTTCGCTTCTTTTTCTTCGACGGGAGACGCTTGGGGTGGTGCTTCATATAGAGAATGTACCATTTTGTGTTTCGTTTTGTGTTTCGTTTTTGGTTAGTTCGCTGGTTGTATAAAATAAAATAAATAAAGTTTTAAATAGCAATAAATAGAAATAAATAGTGACGTTTTATGGGGTTTATATATACAAGAAGTGGGAAATGGCAATTTCAAAGGGGAACGACATCCAAGTAAAAAAAAAAGGGGGAGTACAATAGAATAAGAGATGATATGATATTTTAATTACTCGTAAAGGTCTGTTCACCTCTATCTGTTAAAAACCAAGGAGACACCACGCTTTATTTTGCACAATATATAAAACAAAAATAATATATATATTTATTAATCGATAATACTAATCGATGATAACAATGATAACATTATTTTTTTGTTATGAAAGAAAAAAAGAGGAAGACAACCAACCCACTTTAAAAGTTTTCTCGGTGTGGTAACATGATCTCTCCAGCCTTACGAGCACGTGAAGTTGAATTCGGAGTAACCGTTTAACTGTATATGTATCGGTATGACATTGTCTTAACGATTACAGGCTAACTTTTCTTGTGTTATTTTGCTGCATACACACAAATTCAGCCAAATCTCCCCCACTATAAAAGTACAAGGCAAAAATTTGTTATTTTGCTGGTATACTTTTAATAGATGATGCGTTTCTCGCGATGTGATAAAGAGAGCTTGTGGTATATTTCTCCGAATTGAATGCTAGATAAATAATGGGTTCAAAAAGCAAATGTATACGATGTCCGAGTGTCTAATAAATGAATTTCCAAATTACAAAGGGATTAATCCTAATTTGTTCACACACATGTAACAAATATTTTATCATATGATTTAGTGTAATTAATTCGGTTGTTGGTACACAATACATTCGGGGCCTCGATTAGTCCTCGATTGAGATTCAATCTCACTAATCCGATAAAGTTTATATATATAAAATAAAAAATCCGCAGTAAAAAATCACAATTATGGCGTAATAGTATTACTATTAATAGAGGGTTATCTAAATTCTCTACTTAAAACAGCAATTATACTTTGATTTTGCATTTTCTACCGCTCGCGCATCACTATACTAACTATTTAGCTAGTTAAAGAATGCAACGACCTCACGAAGAGGGTACAACTCCTCCTCCACCTTACACTTTGGTGGATCACTTAAACACTTCTACGAGTAGTTCGACAGCAGCACCCAATAACGCATCTACGACGCTTAATAGCACCAATAACCAGAACCGACCAGGTGGAGACAATACTCTAAATACCGTAAGTTAGTTTGTTTGCTCGTTTCCAGGATACGATGGACGTAAAAACATGTGATTTGAATTTCCTAATCCAACTTTTTTGCGTCAATTGATAATGTATTCATGCTCTTCGTAATGATAATAGTAAAAAGATTATGTCTTTATTTTATTTTGCTCTTTGATGATATTATATTATATTATATTTAATTTGTTAATGAATGTACATTTTAAAGACACCACAGTATCATTCTCAAAATCCATATCCGGCAACAGCAATTTCAACAGATCCTGATTATCGTCTCGCTCAAAAGCTTCAGGATGAAGAATTTGCGTTATGGGTAGATCAAAATCCGGATGAGCCTTTTCTTTCTCGTGGAATACTTGCTGGTGAATCATCAACATCTATTCTTCCTACCTCACATCACCAAAGAGCTCTGCCTCCAATACCAGAACATTACACGTGTAATTATCATCATTCACATCAAAATTCTGGTGGTATTACATCACAGCAACCATCAAAATCAATAACACAGCAACAGCATCCGATTGTTTATGCTTCGCCGAATCAACCTCCATTGCCATACTCGCAAACTGCGCCATATGCTACTAGTACTATTATTAATGGTGGAGGTGCTGGTGCACATCATTCCTCATATTATGGAAGTTTAAGTCAAGGTAAGTGTAATAATAATAAATATTCAAATTCAAATTCAATCGATTTCCATAATCATTATTAATATTAATGATAATTATTTAGGCACTACTGGAAATTACTATTCTTCAGCACAATCTCATCCATTCTATAACGCACCTTATTATAATGATCAGCAGCAGCAGCAACAACAACATTTAGCATATCGTCATGAAGAAGAAGAGGATAATTCACCGGGATGTTTGACTGGATTGTATGAACGTTCTGTTCCTTTTATTTTAGTATTTCTGGTGATTTGGTTTGTGTCCCTCTGTTCCGGTCAACTGCCCGAATGATTGAAAATTTCCCGATCATTACTTAACGTGTGCTTACATGTTTGATTGATAACATAAAGGCGATTAATTGGGTAGGGGGAACAAAATTAATTGGATGTTTGCTCTTTGATTCTCACAAATACTTTTTTTCTTTTTTTTCTCTCACTTTTACTTCGCATTATGTGTGTGATCCTTCTATACATTTTTAGCGCTCTCGGATTTATGCTGTGTTATATTTGCGAATTAACAGAATAATATTGTTTCGAAGTATTATGATTATTAAATTATATTTACTGTCTCAAAAGGAAGACAATTGGGAATTGGTGTATTTTTTTTTCCTTTTCCAAACTGTACATATATAATACATCCCAAGATTTTTAATAAGCAAATACGGTCTACAATTGTTCACTTTCATTATGTTACATGAAACTAACGCGCCACAATGCGTAACTGCCTGATCCGCATGGTGATTTCAGATCTTGTTTTTTTTAATTAAGATGCTTGCCTTTTTGTTTTTTAATTACCGCGATTTTATTTACAATATTTGTTTGTGGAATATTGTTGATATTATAAATGATCAAACATGTTTGTTTGTATAAAGCAAGCTTAAAAGTAGATTCGAGTCGATTCGCAGGTAAGGGATCGTGTTTTGCATCATGACGGTGACGATTAAGCACTTTCGCGTGTTAATGCATCGGGAGTATTGTATAGATAAAGAAAATCCGTAAAAAGAAATAATCAAACAAAAAAAAAACAATAACGATCAACTCAAACAAGTCTCTTTCTTATGTCCAAGGTAAATCTTGTATGTGGGCGTATTGCAAGTATGTGAATGGTTTTAGAAAATGGCTGGAAATAAACATGAACAGGTATTAAATAACGACGATGGATCAAAGAAACAAACAAATAAATAAATAAAATGTTTACATAGTTAACCCCCATTAAACCGCTAAACAGGAGGAACAGTAACCGAATTTTCTATTGATAATCTCGGTCACTTTGGTTTGATGAGGTTGATTATGTATTGTAAAAGATGTTTATTCATATTCTCAGAATGAATTGTCGAAGTTGACTGTATTGTAAAAGATGTTTATTGGTAATTGATAGATATACTATGATTTAACAAAAGACGCGCGTCACAATACGCGTAAAATTTATAGAGCTTTTTAAAAGTTGTCCTGAAAATACTGAGTCCGGTAATTTTTATGGTAATGTTTATTTTTTGGATTACTGGAGCATGCCTTCATACTTGAAGCTGACTAAATCTGTTTTATAAAATAGGTTTCAGCTAATAGACTCGTTTATATAAACATACTTTCACATGAGAGTTATACATAAGCAGCTTTGCTTACCAAAATAACTTAATACCAAACACTCGATTCGACAGTTTAGAGTTTTGATCAATCAGATTAACCGCTTGAATAATTTAGGAACTTTAGTATCTGAGTTCAAATCAAAACACGTGACTAATAAATCACGATATAACGAAACCTGGATATAACGAAAGCAAAAAAGACCTTTTGTTTTAACATTAGCGAAATTTCCAGCTCAAGAGGTTCGTTATATTAAGGTCTGTAACTTGAAATCCTAGTAAATTATTGTAATTATATAACTTATATTGTTGAAACTTTGGCTAACCTCAAAAATCGGATCCAAATTTTTCTGGATTTCTAATTTTGAACTTTAATATTAAAAGTGATATATTGTTACCAGCATTATGAAATTTTTTGGATATAATCTTATAATACTTGTGCAATCTTGCATCATTTTATGCAAACTTGTAATATCGATATAATACAATCAAATCTCATTACAAAATCCTGTTATAATCACATTTTTTTCAAGAGTTAGCTATAATAAAATCATTTCTTTATAGTTATATTCATAATGAGATCCTAATATAATCACATTTATTGATTTTTATTTGCAATATTAATTGTATTTCTTTTTATTATGTTTTTGATCAAAATTAACAAGATTTATATAATTCTGGCCAGAATTTAAGTAATTAAAAATTCTTTAAATATAATAAATTCATAAATAAAACATTACAATATATTCTTTTTTTGAAATACTTTTTTATTAAGTTAAATTTTAATTTAAAAAAATCATTTAAAATCTAGATTTTGTATTATATAATTTTTTAATTTTTGAAAATTTATTATAAAATAATAATAATATATTTTATTGTTGATAATTTTTTATAAAAAATAAAATAATATTAAAATTTATGAATTTTTTAATATAAAATTTTTAAATTTATTAATTAATATTTTTTATTTTTTATACAAAATACAAATAATAGTTTATATAATGATTAACAAAATTATAGAATATATATATATAATTTTATTAATAAAATATAATAAAATAAAAATATTTGTTTTAAATAAATATTTTTATATTAAAATAAAATTATAATTTATAGTTTAATATATAATATTATTAAATTACATTATTAATATTAAATATCAATATTAAATTAATTAATTGAATTACAAGATTAAAATATTTAATCAATTAAATTATTGCTACGGTTACTTTAAATGAAGGGTTTCTTCACTATTAGTAAAAGAGTCATATGAGTTGGGAGAGAGGAATA